CGTAAGTTGTATTGGTGTCTAGGGCTAAAACGTGATGTTTTTGAGTTTGTTGGTTGATTCTTGGTTTGTCAGCGTGTGAAAGTTTAGCATCAACGTCCTTTGAGTTTGCTACAGTTGATTAGCTTTCTTGAATGGAAGTGGGATCATACCACGATGAATTTTGTTTCGGGTTTTTCATTGTCACCATTAAAGAAAGATTCTATTTGGGTTATAGTTGATCTTTTTTTAATAGTGCACATTTGCTTCTTATGCATATAACTTATTCATTACATAAGTTGGTCAAGTTGTATGTCGCAAAGATAGTGCATTTGCATGGTTTTTCGTTGTCGATTATTTATGATCATGATCTACAATTTATTTCAAGTTTTGGAAGAGTTTGCAAGAGGAGTTGGGTTCAAAGTTGAATTTCAGAACGACTATCCACATATGAATGATCATTTCGAGCGAGTGATACAAGTTTTGAAGGATCTGTTATAGGTGTGTGTCATTGAATTTAGTGGTTCTTGAGAGTGATATTTTTTATTAGTTTAGTTTGCATGCAATAAAAGTTTTCAATTGAGTATTCAAATGGTGTCGTTTGAGGCTTTGTACAGGTGCAAACGTCGTATTTTGTTGTGTTGAACCGATTTGATCAAGAGACGTGTTGTTGGTCTTGACTTGATTCGTGTGGTCGATGATAAGGTTAAGTTGATTTCAGATCAATATTTATCAACAGAAGTCTTATGTTATTTTGGAACATCGAGATATTGAGTATGTAGTTGGTGATTTTTTTCCTAAAGGTTTCATATTGGAAGAATGTGTTGAGATTTGGTCACAAGGAAAAGTTTAGTCCAAGTTTTATTGGGTCTTATGAGCTATTAAAGCGTGTAGGTCCTATAACATATCAACTTTGTTTGCCTTCTTAGCTTGAGTGTAATTATTATGTGTTTCATGTGTCTATATTGTGGAGGTATCGTTCGGATCCCTCTCATGTTGTCCTATTTGATGATATAGAGGATCATGTTGATCTTTCTTATGAGGAAGAACTAGTAGAGATATTAGCTCGTGATGTGAGGGTTTTTTCTGGAACAAGTCTGTTCCAATAATGATAGTGTTGTGTCGTAACCACAATACTGAGAAAGCTACGTGGAAGTGTAAGGAGTCAATGAAGGTGCAATATCTACATCTTTTCGACTAAAGTAATTTCAAGGATGGATTTCTTTTTAGGGGATAAAGTTGTAACGTTTCAAATTCTAGGTTCATAGTTCAAATCAGTAATCGAGTCCGTTTTTCAAAATTTCTAATAAAAATATTTTTTTTGGAATTTTGTTCAATAAATATTTTATAAAATGATTTAAATGATTTTTATAATACTAATTATGACTTTTGAGATTTTATAAATGATTTTATAAAGTGACTAAATTGAATAACTCAAAAGTTTCACATGTGGTGACTAAATTGTAAAGGATCAAAATATCAGAATCTTTGAAGCTATTATGCCAAGTTGGAAAATCACTCATTTTTTCTTCATATTCAATTGTGACATTTCTTCTCTTCTCCTAATTCTTCACTAGATTCATGTCCATAGATCTTAGGATCGATTGTATGATGATTTAGTGGCTTGTTCTTTCATTTTCATATGAATTTGCTAAATTTTCCTGAAAAAAGATTAATCACTTGGCTAAAAGGATCGATCTCTTCAAACAATGGATCGATCCCCTCCATAAAGGATCAATCCCTTGATCAAACTTTGTATATTGTAATGAAAATGATTGATCACACGTGAAAAGAGATTGACCCCTTTTCCGTTTACTCGATTAAAAATGGTAAAATTTGATTCGTTAAAGACCCTAAGTGTTCCTAAGTTTTAGTTTAACCCTAGGATGTTTATGTGGGTTAAGAATGGTCCAAAAAATGAGTTGTTAATTAATAATTGGTCCTAAGATAGAATTTAATGAAACTTGTTCTGTCACCCTTTGATATACTGAATTACATAGTGGAAGTTCCGACTAAATAATTTTTTGTTCGCATGTAACTTTTGCATTGTTTACATTTGGTCCTTAGATATGATTGTTCAATTAGGTCCCTCATTGGTGTCCGAATAACTTGAAAATTTGCATGTGATTAATTGAGTACTAATATTGACCATTGGTGAGTTTAATTTTTGTTTCTAACATTGAATTCATAATAATATCATTTGCAATGATTATTTTACCCCTGTGTCAATAAATCATGTTTTCCTTGCAATGCATCATTTTTTTTATTGAAAGCCTAATTTTTTGTTATTTCGTTATTGTGTGTTGCATGTTGAAAGTTTATCTTAACTTCTTCTAATTAGTATGCATGATTAGGGTTTTATTTTTCCAATTCGTGTGTACTCAGAATACTTGGGACATGCTACATGATTGGGTACAAGGTGTTATAGGATGGATATTGATGTGGGAGCACCTGTATAAACACGTTCTCATTTGCCATTATATTTCAAAAACATGTTTCACGGTTCTACCTAAATATATTTCATGGTTCAACAAAAACAGGGTCATTCATACTTTCTAGGGATGCATGAGATGGTATATTCATCATCATCGTGAAAACGTCCATCGAAAAAGTATCACTGTTCCCCAACTAATCGTGGACAAAGACTAGACACTTTTGACTCATCTTCAACAGCACCACTGGAAACATGACAACATCCATCATTCGGACCGATGTTGAGTCCAACGGTGACATCCTAAGCCCGTCAATTTACATGTTGAGCCCATATAATTATATACGAGCCCCTCGGGGTATATAATGTGCCTATAGAGACGATTTTTACTTTATATGCATCGTATTTGGTAGGTGGTGCTCCTCCACTAACACCACCACCGTATACAACTTAGTCATTGATGTCATTCTTTTCATAATTTTTGCAGTTCTCAATAAATGATGGGATCATTGATCATACACCTCCACATTCATTATTTCATGGAGGTCCTTCTTCGACTTTGGCTCCGACTCAGCAAGTTGATATCAATGAGGATGATGGGACTGAAGAGGGAGAGAAACCTAGACGAAGAAATTCTGCTCGAAATAGACAATCACCGCCATGTGGAACACATTCATGAATAAGACATTGTTAGTTTATATAATTTAGGATATTTAAAGTTATATTTAAATTAATTTTTTATATTTAATATTATGTTCTAATTGAATGTTTATTTTTTATATTTTGTAAATTATTTTATATTATTTTAATATTAATTTTTTGTAGATAATTTATTTATTTTTAATTATACAAAGCAAAGGCGCATTATGTAGAACACGCCTTTCAAGTGGACTGCTAGATCAAAATAAGGCGCTTCCAACAAAACGTGCCTTTGTTGAGTCGAATGTCATGTGTGTAAGAATGGCCTTGTTGCCACATTGTACGAAATGACGACATTTTGATAAATATCAGTGAATAGATGACATTTCGATAATTAATCAATTTTAGGATTTTTTTGTTGTTGATAAAATTGCCAAAATGAAAAGCTTAATGGAAAAAATAAATCTCCAAATTATAGTTAAAGTTAATTTTTGCATGTTTAAAGATTTTTTTATTCAAAGTAGATGTTTAATATTTTCAGACTTTTAAGTGCCTACATCATATCAACCATTAAAAAATTATTATTTGGCATATCATATTTATATTTTTTAAAAATATTTCTTAAATACAATTTAAGTTTTTCAAAATTGAAAAAAGCTCAAAAATACCCCCAATACAAAAATGTCCAAACTCTAATCTTAAATATCCAATATACCTCCACCGCCCTTTCACCCTCCAAGGAAACAATTTGGTTAGAGTGTCTCTTTATTGAAATAAGTGAAAATCTTCAAATCTTTATAATATCTTGTGCTAGTTAGAATGTATTTTTCTTAGAAAGTATAAAAGGTTTCCTAAGAAGATAAAATATATCGATATTTATATCACTTTGTACGTATTATTATTGTTTGATATCATATTATTGTGAGCAAAATTAACACTTATAGTAATCTTGTAGATATGTTACCCAAGTCACTTCCTACAACTAAATTTGAACACTGCTTGGACTTGATCGACATTTATTATTAAAAAATTGTCCCTCATAAGGGAGTTCGTGGAAGAAGTGGAGAATATATTTTCTAGGTGGAGAACTTATTTATTGAAGTGAAGAATTATTTTTGTTGAATTTTAGTGTTTCATCAAATTTGAGTTTGTCTCAAATCCTTTACACTATCAGAATTTGTGTCAATGTGGAAATTGCTAGATTTTGACTCAAATTCAATGTGACATAAATTAATTGAAAGATAATTGAGAAAAATAAGAAATTTAGTTTGATTAGAAGAATAAATTATGTTTTATTTTATATAGAAAACCAACTTTAAGTATATCTCTGCTATAAATATGTTTCCTTTGTAATCAATTATATATCCCTATAAATAGATATTGAGATTAAGGTAAAAGTTTAAATTTTCTTCCTTTCATAATAATAAAATCCTTTTTTCTCTGTGATTTTTCACATAAGAATTTTTCACATAAATCTTAATATTATTTTTATTTTACTTGCAATGTTGTTCCGCTGTTATTGTCATTTTCTAACAATAAGTAATTAGTTTTGAGAAAATAAGAAGTGTATACCCTCAAATCCAAACATTTTATTAAATACGAATTTGAGAATCATGAACCAATTGAATGCTTTAATAAGCACAAATTTTTGCACACAAACCATGATAGTGTTGAATAACAAGAAATACTAAGATTTATAAAATATATAGTGATTAGCAGCTATTTATTTCAGCTGAAAATGGTTTCCACCAGCTACCTTATGTCGCACTTGGAAAATAACTAGCCATCAGTCTCTAAATTAGTCATTCTAAATCCTTGCATGTAATAACAATAGCTTTACAAAACAATTTGTATGATCATTAAAAGGCATTTCGTATCTTCCAAAGAAAGTATAATCCAAAGTTTGATTCTATAAACTAAGTATTATATGAACTATAAATCTGTAGTAATGGAGTCATAATTGAAAGGGAATGGATCCCAATATCAAAACTAAAACTCCAAGTGCAACATACTTGTTATCAGGATCAGTGATTTCCTCCGACAGTGGTGCAATGGGCCCTCTTTGCAAGATGAATATGAGAACTACCCAGTAAAACGCCACATCGTTGAACAAAGATGACAATCCCAGCAGAGCAATGGAGAGCGATGTGAAGCGAGTTGAAGCCTGTTCAATTAGAAACTTGGTTATTCTCTATATCCTAAAGGAGGTATATATCATAGCCAATATGGGCTTAGGTGGTGTTTAAAGTCTGTCTGGCATTAAAATTTTAAGGTATAATGCTAAAATTATCCTCCAATGTTTACCAAAATGGTTATTGTAACCTCTATTCTTTTTTTGTTGTTGAACATTTTGGCCCCTAATATTTCATTTTGAGATAAAAAGGCCGCTTCGTGGATGGACACCGCCAGTTAACAAACGGTTAATGCTCCAAAATAAGAGTCTTTGAGTTGGGGACCATAATGCTCTAGAAAAAAAAATGGGTCAAATTAACTATTCAATCAAACTTTAGGGGCTTTTTTGCCTAGTGTAACATTAGGGGCCAAAATGGTTAAAAAAAGAATAGGGGGCCAAAATGACTAATTTAATAAACAATGGGGGCTAATTTTGACATTATGCCAATTTTTTTAAATTATGTTACGTGAAATCGGGTTTAAATATTATATTTGATATGGGTATATTCATTTATCCTACTTGAAATAACAGTCTGATTCTCATGTCTCGGGCATATTGAAGCTTTCCCAAACACAACTTTCAAATTTGAATATACCTGCAGCAGATATATACCCATATCCGACATTCATACGTAACATAACCTAATTCATTTGCTTTAACTAGAAATGAAGTACCTTTCTTCCCCATATAGAAAAGGAGATTCGGCCCCCATCTAGCTCCCCTGCAGGGATGCTATTGATGGCATTAATGAGAAGTCCAGCCCATGCCCAAATTACAAGTGGGTTAACTGATATAGGAGTGCCTTCCTTCAGTACATCACCTAGAAGCAGCTTTGCTTTAAAAGGAGAGAAATGTCACCATCAGAATACATCAAATGATAACTTGATAGCTGAAAAGAATATAATGCTTGAGATAGGGAAGAACATGACTGCAAATGCACCACAAGATAGGGAACAACATATATATTCCTATGTTATTTGATTCTGATATGAGTGTCAGATATCGGTATGCTCAACTGTTTACAAGTTTTTCATAAAATTGAATCGAATCTGTATCGGGCATAGGTATTGTAACCCTCCAGACCGATGCGGAGGATCCGATCCGATCCGGGAAGTCACATTAGGGCCACCGGAGTGACCCACTGTAAAAATAGCGGAAAATTTAAAACTTTTATTGAAACATGTAACTTATAAAATCAGTTGTCACTATTTAAAAATAAAACAGATTTCCAGACTCGTATATAAATCAAAATACAACTACATGCCCCCTAATCACATGTACCATTCTCTGCAACAACGCCAGAAAAACTCCCTTACTGAAGTCGATAGATGCACTGATACAATTCTTTTAACCTGAAAAGGTGAGTAACAGAGTGAGCTTCGAAAAGCTCAGTACTACAGAACTACCAGATGATGCTGAAGAACGTGCAGATACAGATAAACATACATATCCTTATTATTTCCAAACATTTATAGATTTTTATGCTGAGCAAAGATCCTACTGATATTTCAGATGGTAACGGACAATGAGCTTTCAGTTCAGACAAATATTTCGGATGACTGAGTTCAAGAGATCAGAATAGGTTATCTAGTGTGCTCCCAAAAACCATGTAACTTTTCAGATCTTTTAAAACATATATATATATACCCCCATCCCAACACATCATAATGTGTAGGTTCCCCAGAACCATACATCCAACCCAACACATCATATAAGGCCCTGAGCACAAAGCCCAGGAACCTACGAAACTTCTTCCTTCAACAATACCCCCCAATTAAAACATTTTCCGTCCGTAAACGGATATATCAAAAATCAAAACATAAATCAGGTCAAGTATCATATCAGAAATCAGGTCAAGTAAAAGATCAGAATCCATGTCAGATATCATATCAGAATCCATGTCAAGTATCAGATCAGAATTCAAATCGAAAATCAGATAAATATTCATGTGAGTAGGGAACACACCAGAGTTTACAGGTATTATTTAGAGGTATTGTATCAGGCAGAGAAACACAGTTCTTCAGTATGTCGATAGAATGTTGGAATTTAGAATCACTATTGGAAGAGTTCATTAACTGACAGAATCATCAGTTATTCAAAATGTGAATTATCAGGATATTATCTTATTCGGACAGTTTTCAGAAGCTGTACGTAATCAGAAGGGTATTCAGAATCCTATACATCCATGTCAATTGATCGGATAATCGAACAACTTGAGAACAAAGATTCAGAACCTTAACAATCTATGTCTACTGGTCAATTCATTTTCCTTCTAAGGTATTTACTCTTTAATACCACAAATTCTTGTCCGTAGACCATTTTCGGAATCAACGCTGAATAAATCTTCTAATGTCTTTATTTCATTTCCACGTTTCCACAATATCATGGAATGCTGACGAACTTGATTAATTTGTTCATAACCCATTGTAATTGTACACTACGTAAACTCATCAGAGTTTCCAGACTTATTCAAATCACTTATTAAATCCTCAATCATTGAGGTTACCTAGTTCATTTAGCAGTTATGTCCATTCCAGTTACTTCAGGATTTTCCAGAGTAATTCAAACGTTCCTGAATTTCATATACTTGTTGTACTTCCATTCCATTCAATTTGGTCTCTGTGGTTGATTTGTCGAACAAACGTCCAATTCTTAGTATTGAATACGATCTAGAGCTGAGCTGAGCTGAATACTTCCAAAATTTATCATCGAGCCAAACTTGAGAAGACGAATACATGTTCCAGTAATATCTATGCCATTCAGGTATTGACATAGCTTTAGGGTTGATCTACTCACTTAAACTATTTTCCATTACCTTTAAAGGTAGTCCAATACCTATGCTTACTTGGATTCCTTAATTAATCCAAGACATTTACTTAATATAGGCCATAAGGGTATTTTTGTCATTTTGGTTTTCAATTTTATTCCAATCATAACAGAGCTCAAGGATATCCCATCATTCCTGAGCTTGGTGATATTCTTGGGTCATTTTCATTATAGGGGTAATTTGGTTATTTTACAGATCCACGGTATTTCAATCCTTTTCCTCCATCCGGTCTTATTATTTAATTCCAATTTATCATCTATTCCAGTCCGTTCGAACAATTTTGATAAAAGAGCACCCTCCGATAAATTGTTCTTCAGGTATTTACTCCTAACTCGGATATTTTCGGGTCAAGTGCATTCTCGGATTTTACAAACGCAATATTATGAATTTTTCTTTACAAAGATAGAATATTAATAATTAACATTGTACTTAATCGAGTTAAGTACAAATCCTCAAAGTGCTTTCTCCTTCAGAGTCAACTCTGACTATTTTACCTCTCAAGGGCATTTTCGTAATTTCTTAACCAGATAATTTCGATATTAGCTCTTAACGAAAATAATATAATATAGAGATCCTATGATTAATTGCTTCCTCGAATATTCTTTGATCTTGAAAAGATTCCTTAAAAGATTTCTAGTATCTAGTATAAACCTTCTTGGGGTTAAAAATCGGTTATCCATAATTTCCAAGTAAAACTAACATTTCTTATGCACATCAATAGTTTTAGCAGATCAATAATTCTTTTCAGATTTATTAATCCACTTCCAGGGACAATTCTTGTCATTTTCCAACATAAGGGTAATTTTTTAATTTTACCTAATCAAAATATTCTCATAATTTATCATCTAAGTACCTTTAATGAGATAAATTATAATCTACATATCCATGGTTGATTCTTTTATCACTTAATTCAAGAACTTGTAATTTAATTCCAATTGTCCTCCAATTTCTTATAATAGTAATCTGAGCAATATTCAGTTACCTACTTTCTACCGTATTCGTATCTAGTGTAGATCTTCATTAATTATACATATGAGACCATACATTTCCATTCATACATTTACCAATACCAATATGTTCTATAAAGCATAAAGAGGTAGTAAAGTATTACCTCGATTTCCGTGCAATACTGATCGACCATAAAAATTCCATTCAAACGCCTTTGATCTTCAATTCAACTTCCAATAATTCCTCATATACATATTAACATAAATTATATCAGAAACGGAGCTTAATTGCGATAAACGGATCGAATCGGGTGATAAATCAGTGAAAGACAGCTTACCGGGTTCGAATTTGGCGAAAGGGACTTCAGATTCGGATTCAGGACGTCGAAAGCATAAAATATGACTTTTTCAGAAATTTGGAATTTTCGGTCAAAATCAAAGTCAACAGGTTTAACCGGCAATTTCGAGGCCTTCGGGTCTGAATTTCGAAAAACGGATTGCGGAATCGGATTTGGAACGTCGAAAAATGTCAGGATAGATATGCTCGGTCAAAAACAAAGGTCGTTTAATGCCCGGTCAAAGCCCGTCAAAGTTTTGGTCAACAGTGGTCAACGTCGGTCAACGGTTAACGGGTCGGGTCGGGTCGGGTCAACGGGTCGGGTCGGGTTGTGATCGGTCAAACCGGTCAACTGTGCACCAAAACCGGTCAAACCGGTCACTTTTGTCTTCCCCACGCGCAGTGACGGCGCTTGGGGGCGCGTAAATAGTGCCCTGATATCGGAAAATTCCCTAAAAAATTCTTAAAAATTATTTTAAGCGATTTAAATATACTTACAAAGCTCGGTTCAAATTTTTGAACGGCGGAGAACTCGATTTCAACGAATCAGAAACTTTGACCGCTTCACCTCCACACGCGCCACCGCCGCTGGAGAAAAGGGAGGACACTGGTGGACTCGGAACGGCACAAGGAACACGATGGTGCGGGAGGTGTCGTAAGCAGATGACCCGATCGTAGTGAATCGATGAAAAACCAACTAAAACTGAGTTATTAACGACGATACTTCCGACTGAAATTCACGACGAACGACGATGATTCACGACGAAAGGTTTGAGGGGTTTTGTTCCTCGGTTGACAACAAACACGATGGTGGTTTCAGCTCGTCGATCGGAGGTCGAACGGCGAGTAGATCGGAGTTCAAAGAGGGGTTGATGAAGAGGAAAATCTGGAAAAATTTCCAGAAAACATACGGGGAGAGATTTATAATTCTATCATAAATAAAAATGGCTAAATCATGGGTTTAGCCACTGAATTTCCTACACTCTTTAAAACGGTCTGCCAACTTTGAAATCTTATAATTTAATCCTCGATTTCTTCTAAAAATACCAATTAAATTCACCAATTTATATTTTCTTAAATTTAGCCCCTAAATTGGGGTGTTACAATTCTCCTCTCCTTAAAAGAATTTCTTCCTCGAAATTTATTCATGTCACATTATTGCAGAAATAAAACTTCCATCAACTCTTCCATATCTTCAAGTAGCTTTTACAAAAGTACGTGTTCTCTACTAATCCTTAATCAGCTGAGCATACATTCTTATCAGAACTTTTCCTTGTTTCAATAAAAGAATCCGAACAAAAATTCCCTTGAATAATCAATTTAGTCTTTGTCACGAGAATCGGCTCATAAAGCAGTAGCATATCCCAATTTCATTTCCGAAGTCGGGTCAAAATTTCTCATATGAATAACTCTTATATGGCTCGTGAGGTACTTCATAGCGTTTAGACAGATGTTACTGGTATTCCTTTTTGTACAAGTATAACCTTAACATATAGACACTTCGGTTTATTCGTTACAGATAGGGACTCAGCCCTGGAGTTTCGGCTCAGAGAGGTACGATTGCAGTCTAGGGGCATGTATTGATCAGACATATTTTGACATTCGACCGGCCGGTCTATCTTAAAATTTTTTGACTCAAACCATAGCTCTGATACCACTAAATGTAACCCCCCAGACCGATGCGGAGGATCCGATCCGATCCGGGAAGTCACATTAGGGCCACCGGAGTGACCCACTGTAAAAATAGCAGAAAATTTAAAACTTGTATTGAAACATGTAACTTATAAAATCAGTTGTCACTATTTAAAAATAAAATAGATTTCCAAACTCGTATATAAATCAAAATACAATTACATGCCCCCTAATCACATGTACCATTCTCTGCAACAACGCCGGAAAAACTCCATTACTGAAGTCGATAGATGCACTGATACAATTCTTTTAACCTGAAAATGTGAGTAATAGAGTGAGCTTCGAAAAGATAAGTTATACAGAACTACCAGATGATGCTGAAGAACGTGCAGATACAGATAAACATACATATCCTTATTATTTCCAAACATTTATAGATTTTTATGCTGAACAGAGATCCTATTGATATTTCAGATGGTAACGGACAATGAGCTTTCAGTTCAGACAAATATTTCGGATGACTGAGTTCAGGAGATCAGAATAGGTTATCTAGTGTGTTCCCAAAAACCATGTAACTTTTCAGATCTTTTAAAACATATATATATATACCCCCATCCCAACACATCATAATGTGTAGGTTCCCTAAAACCATACACCCAACCCAACACATCATATAAGGCCCTGAGCACAAAGTCGAGGAACCTGCGAAACTTCTTCCTTCAACAATACCCCCCAATTAAAACATTTTCCGTCCGTAAACAGATATATCAAAAATCAAAACATAAATCAGGTCAAGTATCATATCAGAAATCAAGTCAAGTAACATATCAGAATCCAAGTCAAGTATCAGATCAGAATCCATGTCAGATATCAGATCAGAATCCATGTCAAGTATTAGATCAGAATTCAAATCGAAAATCAGATAAAATATTCATGTGAGTAGGGAACACACCAGAGTTTACAGGTATTATTTAGAGGTACTGTATCAGGCAGAGAAACACAGTTCTTCAGTATGTCGATAGAATGTTGGAATTTAGAATCACTATTGGAAGAGTTCATTAACTGACAGAATCATCAGTTATTCAAAATGTGAATTATCAGGATATTATCTTATTCGGACAGTTTTCAGAAGCTGTACGTAATCAGAAGGGTATTCAGAATCATATACATCCATGTCAATTGATCGGATAATCGAACAACTTGAGAACAAAGATTCAGAACCTTAACAATCTATGTCTACTGGTCAATTCATTTTCCTTCTAAGGTATTTACTCTTTAATACCACAAATTCTTGTCCGTAGACCATTTTCGGAATCATCGCTGAATAAATCTTCCAATGTCTTTATTTCATTTCCACGTTTCCACAATATCATGGAATGCTGACGTACTTGATTAATTTGTTCATAACACATTGTAATTGTACACTACGTAAACTCATCAGAGTTTCCAGACTTATCCAAATCACTTATTAAATCCTCAGTCATTGAGGTTACCTAGTTCATTTAGCAGTCATGTCCATTCCAGTTACTTCAGGATTTTCCAGAGTAATTTAAACGTTCCTGAATTTCAGATACATGTTGTACTTCCATTCCATTCAATTTGGTCTTCGTGGTTGATTTGTCGAACAAACGTCCAATTCTTAGTATTGAATACGATCTAGAGCTGAGCTGAGCTGAATACTTCCAAAATTTATCATCTAGCCTAACTTGAGAAGACGAATACATGTTCCAGTAATATATATGCCATTCAGGTATTGACATAGCTTTAGGGTTGATCTACTCACTTAAATTGTTTTCCATTACCTTTAAAAGTAGTCCAATACCTATGCTTACTTGGATTCCTTAATTAATCCAAGACATTTACTTAATATAGGCCATAAGGGTATTTTGGTCATTTTGGTTTTCAGTTTTATTCCAATCATAACAGAGCTCAAGGATATCTCATCATTCTTGAGCTTGGTGATATTCTTGGGTCATTTCCATTACAGGGGTAATTTGGTTATTTTACAGATCCACTTTCAATCTTTTTCCTCCATCCGGTCTTATTATTTAATTCCAATTTATCATCTATTCCAGTCCGTTCGAACAATTCAGATAAAAGAGCACCCTCCGATAAATTGTTTTTTAGGTATTTACTCATAACTCGGATATTTTCGGGTCAAGTGCCTTCTCGGATTTTACAAACGCAATATTATGAATTTTTCTTTACAAAGATAGAATATTAATAATTAACATTGTACTTAATTGAGTTAAGTACAAATCCTCAAAGTGCTTTCTCCTTCAGAGTCAACTCTGACTATTTTACCTCTCAAGGGCATTTTCGTAATTTCTTAACCAGATAATTTCGATATTAGCTCTTAACGAAAATAATATAATATAGAGATCCTATGATTAATTGCTTCCTCAAACATTCTTTGATCTTGAAATGATTCCTTAAAAGACTTCTAGTATCTAGTATAAACCTTCTTGGGGTTAAAAATCGGTTATCCATAATTTCCAAGTAAAACTAACATTTCTTATGCACATCAATAGTTTTAGCAGATCAATAATTCTTTTCAGATTTATTAATCCACTTCCAGGGACAATTCTTGTCATTTTCCAACATAAGGGTAATTTCGTAATTTTACCTAATCGAAATATTCTCATAATTTATCATCTAAGTACCTTTAATGAGATAAATTATAATCTACATATCCATGGTTGATTCTTTTATCACTTAATTCAAGAACTTGTAATTTAATTCCAACTGTCCTCCAATTTCTTATAATAGTAATCTGAGCAATATTCAGTTACCTACTTTCTACCGTATTCGTATCTAGTGTAGATCTTCATTAATTATACATACGAGACCAAACATTTCCATTTATGCATTTACCAATACCAATATGTTCAATAAAGCATAAAGAGGTAGTAAAGTATTACCTCGATTTCTGTGCAATACTGATCGACCATAAAAATTCCATTCAAACGCCTTTGATCTTCAATTCAACTTCCAATAATTCCTCATATACATATTAACATAAATTATATCAGAAACGGAGCTTAATTGCGATAAACGGATCGAATCGGGTGATAAATCAGTGAAAGACAGTTTACCGGGTTCGAATTTGGCGAAACGGACTTCAGATTCGGATTCAGGACGTCGAAAGCATAAAATATGACTTTTCGGAAATTTGGAATTTTTGGTCAAAATCAAAGTCAACGGGTTTGACCGGCAATTTCGAGGCTTTCGGGTCTGAATTTCGAAAAACGGATTGCGGAATCGGATTTGGAACATCGAAAAATGTCAGGAAAGGTATCCTCGGTCAAAAACAAAGGTCGTTTAATGCCCGGTTAAAGCCCGTCAAAGTTTTGGTCAACAGTAGTCAACGCGGTCAACGGTGGTCAACGGTCAATGAGTCAACGGGTCAACGGATCAACGGGTCGGGTCAACAGGTCGAGTCAGGTCAACGAGTCGGGTCGAGTCAATGGGTCAGCGGGTTGGGTCGGGTTGTGACCGGTCAAACCGGTCAACTGTGCACCAAAACCGGTCAAACAAGTCACTTTTGTCTTCCCCGCGCACAGTGGCGGCGCGTGGGGCACGGGAATAGTGCCCTGATATCAGAAAATTCTCGAAAAAATTCTTTAAAATTATTTTATCGATTTCGAGATACTTACAAAGCTCGGTTCAAATTTTTAAACGGCGGAGAGCTCGATTTCAACGAATCGGAAACTTTGACCGCTTCACCTCCACACGCGCCTTCACCGCCGGGGAAAAGGGAGGACACCGGTGGACTCGGAACGGCACAAGGAACATGATGGTGCGGGAGGTGTCGTAAACGGATGACCCGATCGTCGTGAATCGATGAAAAACCAAATAAAATCGAGTTATTACCGACGATACTTCCGATTGAAATTCACGACGAACGGAGATGATTCACGACGAAAGGTTTGAGGGGTTTTGTTCCTCGGTTGACAACGAACACGATGGTGGTTTCGGCTCGTCGATCGGAAGTCGGACGGCGAGTAGATCGGAGTTCAAAGGGGGGTTGATGAAGAGGAAAATCTAGAAAAATTTCCAGAAAACATAGGGGAGAAATTTATAATTCTCTTCAAAATAAAAATGACTAAATTATGGGTTTAGCCATTGAATTTCCTACACTTCTTAAAATGATCTGCCAACTTTGAAATCTTATAATTTAATCCCTAATATCTTCCAAAAATACCAATTAAATTCACCAATTTATATTTTCTTAAATTTAGCCCCTAAATTGGGGTGTTACAGGAATCCAACGTGAGTACTTTAAGAAAAATTAAGAGTCGGGGCAATAGAAATCCTTACCTACACCAACAGCAAGAAATGATTCATGAAACACAGAAGTATCAACAACAACTCCAATACCATCACTAGGAGGCAAGATGAAACCTAGAAGGAATAGAACAAAACCCAAAGAAAAGCCAGCCAAAGGTCCAGCTGCTGCAACCTTGAGAAGGGCCTCACGATTGGGTACAATATTTTTTATCCTTGTTATGGCACCAAAAGAGCCTATCTGCCATCAAAGACAGTCCAATAGACGTAGCACATTCATATTCATAAAACATCCACATCCAGTAGTTCAGAAAAAGTAGGGAAAACGGTTGCAATTTATGAATTCATAAATAGATACTGTAATCTTAGGAAGCAAAGTGATACTGGTGTCGGGTAAAAAGGATATTTTTCGTACAAACTCCTTAAAAAATTTCTGCTTATGTGTTTCACTAAATAAATTAAAGAGGTTAAATGCTTTGGGATCTACATGGTATTGAAAAAATTGGAAATGTAACACGGAGTGTTCATTGATTCTTTATTTTTCTTTTAGCATCTGTATATCCAACACTCATGTACAACATACATTTGGATATGGAAATGGAAATATGACCCTCTACGGATCCTCCAAATATATGGAAAAAATTGGGAAAAAGTTGGACATACTTGTATGAAACAGATACCCATATCTGACGGACACACACCGTTTGAGTAATGAAGATAGAAAGTAAGGTAAAGGTATATAGTATTGTTCTTATCTATGATTTCCTCTCTAGATTGCAACAGAGATATATGGTGCTGACTAATAGGAACTCAAAAGAGAAAGAAAAAGAGTAGTTTGTTTTGAAACAAAGGATAATGAAAAGAACCATATATATCACCTGCCAACTTGGAACAAAGAACGGGACACCAAGCTTAATTTCTGTGCTCTTTGATACTAAGATGTGGCCCAATTCATGTGCCCCCAGAAGAAGTGCAGTAATAAAGGCACCAGGTAGACCATTCGATAACAAGTTGAGATTGTCAAATGTTGATCTGGACCATTAACAATACCATAGGCAGTAATGAAATAAGACAAACTGAATTATCTGATAGAAAATTATCATAATTCTAAGAAAAGGGAAGCAAAGAAAAAAATCGGAAACAATCAACTCAAGTATAACTAGAACTGAGAAAACAATAACAATAGAAAGGAGTCCTCACAGCAAGGGAGAACGAGAGAGAAGAATATTAGTCAAGAAATCTAGGAATGATGTGCCAAAGAAAAATAAACTTACAGTGACAAGTCTAATGTACTATTCACCATCTTAAAATACTCAAACAAAATGATCAATCAAATAGGTATTTATGAGCTTGCTACAAGTTAAAAATATTATAATCAGAAGGGAAAACAGCTTAAATAGTAGCAGTTTTGTCTTGCTTATGTTTTGGTTATGATTCAAATAACACATCACTGTTAATGTTTAAGATTTCAGAGTGAAAAATTGATAGAAAAGCATACAATAAGTTGGACTGCAGTGCAGGCACATTCCGAAGTTGTAGCTTAAACACTGCAACCAGACCAAAAGCTCCAGCTGCTAACCACTCAGGGACAGCTGCAAAAGGTATACTTTAGTCTTATATACAATTATTTTGACGTATGACATGAAATGGTGTTAAACTTTTGAATAACATAATACCATAGCCAATTACCAGTTGTCTCTGGTTGCAAAGTCGTTTGAGGAACAACAACTGCCACTGGTTTATCATCCTCTGGATTGATAAGAAGGAAAAGCTTATATTCATCACCAAATTTGTTCTGTGTATTTGTTTAGAAGAAATTAAATATAGAATCAGCCATTAACCTCCTGGATAGTACAACGGAAGAAGCAGAGTTAGCATACCTGCATCCTAGTTGATATCTTTTCATAACTTCTAGCAGCCTGTCCTCGCAAATTACCTTTGAATAATACTCCACCCTATCAAATATGACAGTAAACAAGAACATAAATGAGAAACAAAAATAAAATTGCCTATTGTATTCTGTTATCTTATTATCAAGGACAATATACATCACCTATCAGAAGAGAAGTTCAGCCTATAACTATGTTTTTAAATGTTATTATCTCTATGGAAATGTCTTCAATTTAAGTTGCAGAAGATAACTGCATATGAGGCAACTTTACTTGCTTTCAGCCCCCTCAGAATCATCAGATGCATGTTTGAAAGGAATAAAAAATGAAGGATTAAGGAAGCCTAGAACTATCCAAATAGCTAACACACCTCGTAGGGTTCCTGGCTCGTCACAAAGAAGGTATCAAATGCAAATACTTGATCCTTAAGAATGTCAATGGTCTCCTTGGGAATCCTCATTGATTCATCCAGTTGCTGTGGCTGTTCAGGAAACAAGGGAAGATGTAAAAGAAGCAGGAAAAGATTTTTCATGTAAATTCCAGTTTAGTAAGCAATACGGCATCACGATCACCGTCACACCTGGCAGAGGCGATCCACTAAATGTAACACCCCAAACCGATACGGGTAGCCCGATCCGATTCGGGAAGTCACATTAGGGCCACCGGAGCGACCCACCGTAAAAATAGCGGAAATTTTAAAACTTTTTATCAGAACATGTAAACTTATAAAATCATTTATCACTATTTAAAAATAAAACAGATTTCCAAACTCGTATATAAATCAAAATACAATTACATGCCCCCTAATCACAAGTACCATACTCTGCAACCACGCCGGAAGAACTCCCTTACTGAAGTCGATAGATGCACTGGTACAATTGTTTAAACCTGAAAAGGTGAGTAATAGAGTGAGCTTTGGAAAGCTCAGTAATACAGAACTACCAGATGATGCTACATGACATGTAGATAAATGGAAAGCCATATAATTTCCTTATTGAATCATATGTATACCAGCTTGCAGAATAATTTGGGGTTCCCTTAGAAGTTCATCGAGTAGAAGCCATGAATCTCAGTTCATAAGAAACCTTTCAAAGTATGACATTTTTAGGAGATCGAATAGGATGTCTAGTGTGTTCCAACAGTATAATAAAATCATAATAGATACAAATCATAGTCCAGTAAATCTCACAATTTCGTAAAAGAGTTTAACTTTTGAAAATCATAGTTTAAACCCTTTTCTGGTACACCATCAGTAGTTCCCAAAATTATTTTCCATATAGCTTACTTTATGCACATAGCAAAAAGAAAGCCGACTTAAGGATAAGCTATGAAGCTTGTATCCTTAAGCCCAAGTCAATAAGTCCATATAGCTTACCCTAAGCACACAGCAAAGGAAAGCCGACCTAATGAAACATCTTGGGGCCCTCAAGAGTCACATTAGGCCCATTTAGCTTGATCAGAGCTATTCCATCGTAATTCAATTCCAAAATTCAATTGCACCGTGACATAAATTCCATAAATCCAAAAACATGGTAATCATATACCATTTCAAAACAAAAATTAGATAGCAGCCATATTCCATAAATTGTCACATTAAATTGGTGCATCCATAAAACAATAACCAATGAATTCGGTGTACCACATATTAAAACCAATAAAACAGTTCAGTAATAAGTAGGGAACACACTAGAGAATCCCAGTATTTCCAGAGGCCATTGTAGTTATCATTTTGGATAACATGAAACTTATGAAATTTGATCGAATTCCTGGAACAAGGTCCTATTGAGGAGAATCGATTACTAACCGATCTAGCCAGACATTTAATGTTGATACATTAGAATCCCACTATATTTTCATGTGCTTTAGGAAAACGTTCAGGAACCTTTATACATAATAATTCTAAATTCAGATTTACTGCGAGGGATTCCATTACCCAAACAATCAGGGGTATTCAGGAATATACTTTAAATTCATAGGATTTCAGCCCAATTGAACTAAATGAGATATTCAGAATCTTTTCCATCTGCGTTACTTGTTTTTTTTTTCAAACATGACCGAAGTGATTTTAGATGAAATATAGTTTTTTCAAACATGACCGAAGTGATTTTAGATGAAATATAGAATCGAAGATTCAAGTCATTTACAATCTACGACTATCGATCATATTATCAAACAACTCGAGTTACACAACTCTCAAACTGATGCATGTCAACAAGTCAATTCATTATCCTTCCAGTGTATTCACTCTTTAATACCATAGTGCAGATCCATAGATCATCCCCATAATCATCACTGAATAAATCTTCCAACGGTCTTTATTTCATTTCCACGTTTCAACAATATCAGGAAATACTGACGTACTTGATCCATGGCTCATAACCCATAATGACAATTCATCATGTAAGTTCAACAGTGTTTCCAAACTCATCAAATCACCTATTTAATCCTTACTCATTGATGTTACTTAGTTCGTTTGGTAAGCAAGTCTATCCTGATTACTTTAAAGTTTTCCAGAATAATTCAGACGTTTTTGAATTTCAAATACACGTACTACATTTCATTTCAATTTATTCATATAATAAAGTCATTCTGGTATTCGTGGTTGATTTGACTAACGACTACCCACTTATTAGTACTGTATGCGCTCTAGAGTTGAGCTGCGCCAAGTACTTCCAGAATTATCATCGATCCAAATTTGAGCAGATGAACAAACATTCAAGTGATACTTATATCATTCAGGTAATGATATAGTACTAACGTTGGTTAATCACTTAAGTTGCGTTCCACAACTTTTACTGGTAGCACAACATCCATGTTTATTTGGATTTCTTAATTAATCCAAGACATTTACTTATTCTAGGTCATAAGGGCATTTTGGTCATTTTGGTGCTTAACATTTTTTTCTATTCATTTCAAAGCTTGAGTATATCCATTCATTCCTGAGCTTGGTGACATTCTTGAGTCATTTTCATTCCAGGGGTAATTTGGTCATTTTATAATTCTAGAATATTTCAATCATTTCCTTCCATCCGGTCTTATTATTTAATTCAATCTTATCATTTACTTCAGTCCTTTCGAACAATTCTGTCAGCAGAATACCTCCAATAAATTACTCTTCAAGTATTTACTCCTTATTCGAATATTTTCGGGTCAAGTGTCTTCTCAGATTTTACAAACGGAATATTATAAATTTTTCTGTACAAAGATAAGATCTTAACAATTAAATTCGTACTTAATCGAGTTAAGTACAAATCCTCAAAGTACTCTCTCATTCAGGGTCAATTCAGACTATTTTATCTCTCAAGGGCATTTTCGTAATTTCTTAACCAAATAATTTCAATATTAGCACTTAACGAAAATAATTATAATTTAGAGATCCTATGATCAATTGCTTTCCCGAACATTCTTTGATTTTGAAATGATTCCTTCACAAACTCTCATAGGATTAAAATCGGTTATCCATAATTTCCAAATAAAACTAACATTTCTTATGCACATCAGTAGTTATATCGGATCAATATGTCTTTTCAGAGTTATTAACCAACTTCCAGGGGCAATTCTTATCATTTCCAACTAAAGGGTAATTTCGTAATTTTACCATATCGGAGTATTCTCATAATTTTTCATCCAAGTATCTTTAACATTTAACCCTTGATGATATAAAATATAAGTTACAAATCCAGAGCTGATTTCTTTATCACCAATCACAAACTTGTAATTTAATTCTAACAATGATCAATCTCTTATCTTAGTCATTCGATCCGTATTCAGTTACAGAATTTCTACCACATTCATATCGAGTGAATAAATTATTCAACTCCACAAAAGTGACCAACATTATCTTATTCATGCATTTACCAATATCAACATGTTCCATAAAGCATAAAGAGGTAGTAAAGTATTATCTCGATTTCCGTGCAATACTGATCGACCATAAAAATTCCATTCGAATGCCTTTGATCTTCAATTCAACTTCAAATAATTCCTCAGATACATATCAACATAAATTATATCAGAAACGGAGCTTAATTGCGATAAACGGATCAAATCGGGTGATAAATCAGTGAAAGACGGCTTACCGGGTTCGAATTTAGCGAAACGGACTTCGGATTCGGATTCAGTACGTCGAAAGCATAAAATGTGACTTTTCAGAAATTTGGAATTTTCGGTCAAAATCAAAGTCAACGGGTTTGACCGGATATTTTGAGGCCTTCGGGTTCTAATTTCGAAAAACGGACAGCGGAATCAGATTTGGAACGTCGAAAAATGTCAGGATAGGTATACTCGGTCGAAGTCAAAGGTCGTTTAATGCCCGGTCAAAGCCAGTCAAAGTTTTGGTCAACAGTGGTCAACGACGGTCAACAGGTCGAGTCAACGAGTCGGGTCGGGTCAACGGGTCGGGTCGGGTAAACGGGTTGGGTTGTGACCGGTCAACTATGCACCAAAACCGGTCAAACCGGTCATTTTTTTCTTCCCCACGCGCAGTGGCGGCGCGTGGGGGCGCGTGAACAGTGCTAAAATCCCGAAAAATTTTCTAAAAATTATTTTGAGCGATTTCGAGATACTTACAAAGCTTGGTTCACAATTTTGAACGGCGGAGAGCTCGATTTCAACAAATCGGAAACTTTAACCGCTTCACCTCCTCACGCGCCGCCGTCGACGGAGACCAAGGATGACACCGGCAAACTCAGAACGATGCAACGAACACGATGGTGCGGGAGGTGTCGTAAACAGATGACCCGATAGTCGTGAATCTATGAAAAACCAACTAAAACCAAGTTATTACCGACGATACTTCCGACTGAAATTCACGACGAACGGCGATGATTCACGACGAAAGGTTTGAGGGGTTTTGTTCCTCGATTGACAACGAACACGATGGTGGTTTCGGCTCGTCGTTTGGAGGTCGGACGACGAGTAGATCGGAGTTGGAAGTTGGGTTGTTGGAGAAGGGAAATCTGAAAAATATGAAACCTGCGCACGGGGAGGAGCTTATAATTCATCATATATAAGAAATGGTTAAATCATGGGTTTAGCCACTGAATTTCCTGCACTTTATAAAACGGTCTGCAAACTTTAAAACTTTACAATTTAATTCCCAATGTTTCTTTCAAAATATCAATTAAATCCGCCACTTTATAATTTCTTAATTTTAACCTCTAAATTGGGGTGTTACACTAGTAACTTTGTTAGCATCAACATCCTGTATCGAACATACTTCTGATGTAATAAAGGTCAAACAAGCTATGAATTGACGTTTTGCAGAGTGCAAAAATTGGAAGGTGAATGTGGGAGTCGTTACTAAAATACTTCGCATTGTAGGTATTGCAGGAGCCAGAAATGATGCTTACATTCAGAGGTAAGCTTCGGATGGATATGTATCTGGAAAGGACATGCTCAAATTTTCTAAGTTTTTCCAGATATTTGAAGGTTCCGACTCCCATACCAATATTCAAAAACAACATAATGCTAGTTATAGCTATAGCTAAATTACTGTCTAGCTTTCAATTGGATGATAGCAAGTTCATCATGATAGAGAAATGAGATTAAAAATCAGCCATAGTTAAGAATTTAAGGCGATGTACATGAAATCTAACAAAGTGGCCTGAAAAAAGCACAGTAGCATGATCTTCCATTGAGAACAGGCCCGGCAAGTTTGGAATTGATGGATCATACAGACATGAGCAAGACACACACGAACGATGTAACACTAACACAAGATGAATAGCAAGAATATTTCAAATTTTATGCAACAATATGAATTATTAACATATCAAAATCAGAATAAATATATATTTTCTTAAACACAACTATAACACATGAAATACTCGAGCACGCTTAGAATACCATCTCTAGTTGAGAATTAAGTAATGTAGGACCTTGCCTATTGCCCTATTCTATCACTATACGAATACTATCACTGAATAGAAATTTAATACCTGGACAGCACCTTGAGTTGGAGTTTCTGCAACATTGTTGCTTATTTGATTGGCATTTATGGGTTGCGAATCAATCTGGGAATCGTTTTCCTTTACAGAATCAGTAATTGCCGGCTTTTCTCCACTTTGATGCTTATCTTCCTCCTACATACGTACATCAAATATCACGTTGAGTTCATTCAAAAAGTAGAAGTATGATTGGCCGAGGATAGCTCCTACCTTCACGGATAGATTTACAAGTGAATAATGCAATAATTCCAAAAATTTATCAACATAGAAAGCAATAAATATTTTCTTAATGGAACTAATTTTAGTGACAAACTAATTACCTCGTCACTATTACTATCCGGTTCAGTTTCTGTGTCAGTTACTCTACAAAAAAATTCTCTTCTCCTGCAAAATCTATAAGGGGAAAACAGAATTAATTCAGTAATTTTTCTTCTCAAGCATAAATATTTTTAAATTAAATTATAAGGAAAAGAGCTACCTGGAGATGCCAGTAAACTTCAAGTTCCTTAAACGAAACCGTTGCGACTTGGCAAAGCTCGAAAAAGGCAACAAAGGCTAAAGCCGAAGATCACAACAATAGCTACATTGAGATAAGACACCAAAGTTGAGGCGGAAACTTGCTGCTAAATTCATTTTTATCTTATTTTTTGTTAATTAAATCCAAATTCCTGAAAATGAGAATTTAATTCAGTTCCATTGGATAAATTCAAAGCATTTTAGGGGAAAATTAGTTTCGCAGCTTTTGGGAAGACACCAAATTTGGGTTTTTTATTTCTTCCTAGTCTTATCCGTTTTTCCGTTTCTTGGAAGGAGTAACCGCGAGAGGACCGTATTTTTGCGAATTAAAAAGCCAAACCTATGGGACCAATTGTCTTCAGACACGTGTATTCTCAACTTACGTGGACTGTTTTCAGTGGCGTCCTACTTGACGCAATCTTGAGCGGGAGATTGTTTAACAATATCTTAATTTTTTAAAATATATATATTTAATATAAAAACAATTGCGTAATTTATACTTAAAATATCTTTAAGTTTTTAATGTTTTCTTTATTATACTTTTAGATATTTAACGTTAAAAATTTATTAAGTAACATGTGTCACATTTTGACTTTTAAAAAATATAAACGTGACACATGTTACTTAACTATTTTTCTAACAATAGTCATCTAAATTTTGGAGTAATTTACACGACTTCTATTTTTTATACGTTTTTATTAATGAAAATTATGGAGGTTTAGAACTAGGGTAGCGGAATAGTGTTGCCTTTGTTTAGGTTTTAACCCATTTTATTTATTCCTTATCGTAGCTTACTATCATTGACTTCAGTGCATCATTTTCTTCATGTTTCATCTTTTTAAATTTTGTCGGGTCTTACGTTTCTGTCTATTATAGAGATTTTTATGTAGGGATTTATTTGCAGGGATTAGGGGTCGGAATAGGCCAGGCCGGCCTATAAGGGCCTACGGCCTGGCCTGTATAAAGCCTGGCCTGGCCTGGCCTATTTAATAAAAAGGCCAGGTCAGGCCTTTTTAAAAGCTTATTTAATTAAACAGGCCAGGCTTAGGCCTATTAGAAAGCCATATAAGCCTGATAGGCCGGCCTATTTAGAGTGACTACTTTGTAAAATGCACTAAGTTAGAGTGACTTAATAGAGATTTTACTCTAAAATTAATGACTAAACTGAAAATATTAAATGTTTATTGTTAAACAGGCTTTTTAACAGGCCAAGCTTTTAAACAGGCCAGGCCAAGCCTAAATAAAAGCCTTTGACAGGCCAGGCTCAGGCCTACAAAAATCATTGTAGGCCAGGCCCAGGCCTATTAAAGCCTGGCCTGGCCTATTCCGACCCCTAGTAGGGATTACTTCCCATTTACAGACTTCCTATTTACAGACGTGCATATTGAATACTGCATTATTAACACTGTTCAACTATGTATTTATTTATTTAATTATACATACATTGCATTCTATCTTTATTTTTAATTTCTGAATGCCAGAGATCTTACACAGAAGTCGCTTTTAACCTTGCGTTGGGGCAGCCTATTACCCTACTTCCCCTTACTCTATTATATATGAAAATATGGTTTTGTTGTTGTTTTGTAGTCATCTAAAAAAGTATAACGAAAATAATTTTAGATACCTATTTTTAATAAAATTATTGTTTAGACACTAAAAATCAATTTTTGAATATAATTAGTCGTTTATTAACCTCTTCATCCTCTTCTCTTCCCCTTCTGATATTTACATTCTCCGTTGCCTTTAGCTCTAACGATGAAACATACATCATGTCGTAACCGTCTTTCGGTTGGGCCCCGGAATTGGGCTTCGACTTGAAAAATGTGATTGGAGTCGCCACCGATTATTTATTTTAAAAAATAAATAGGTTAATCGGATACCTTATATCTTACCTGATCTGCGTCTTACCAAAGATATGTCGGATTCGGGAGTCGGTTACGGTCAAGGAAGGATTAGCACCCTTGAACCGCCCTTTCGGTACTACGTAATTTCCAGTTGTTTTTAATTAAGAAAATCGAAAGTTAAAATTTAAAGGTAACATATGATCCAAAATTACTTACCTCCGATCAATTTGAAAGAGTACCCTTAAAAAGTCGAGAAACACGTTAAAGGAAAAATGAAATAAGAGTAAATGAAATAAAGAAAATAGAAGGAAGAAATAAAAAAAATGATGAAAAACTAAAAGAGGAATAAAAACATATAATTATTAAGTGCAAAATAATAATAATGATAATAAGTAGTAAAATAAAAAACGCAATTACACCAAAAAAGTAAAAAAAGAAAGTCAAGGTTTGGTGAAATATAACTGTCGGGAAGGAAAAAAACGACAAGGAGTGGGACCGTAATTAATAAATGAGTGTGATGTATCCCTATAATATAGTAAGAATGAATAAACAAAAAATATTATGATATATATATATATATATATATATAATAAATATTATAACGAAAAAAAATAATTTAATAAAGTAAAATAATAATAATGTAATATAATATAAATACATGAAAACAAAAAAAATAAAGAAGTATAAAATATAAAAATATAATTAAATGTATATATATGCATATGTTTAAAAAAAGTAAAAATAAAAATAAAATACAATAAAAAATATACATATAATGATAATAATAGTAGCAAAAGAGAAAAATATATTTATATACGTTAATAGTGCAATAATAATAAATATTATAATTATAAATATATATATATATATAATAACTTTAAAAAACATTAAAATAATATTAGAATAAAAATTATATATATATAATTAATAATACGATTTATCAAAAAGAAATAAATAAAAATATGAAAATAATACATAAGGGATCGTTCATCGGCGGCAAAACTTTCCTTCGTTTTAAATATCCTAGTATTTTTCCAAAATGGCCTCGGGGTTGTGTAGATCTAAAAGAAAAAGTTTCGAACGACAACCCCTTTTCCTCGGCCAAAACTATTTTTTTAGCACAAAGACGAATAACAACACATGCAAGTGAAGAAAAGAATGCGAAAGGTAAAAGCTTTCACCTTTTATTGCTCATGAATTGTTTACAATAGCTTCAAAACAATCTATTTGCTCGTATTTTTTTTGGTAATTTCGTATGCCAATCGTGTGTTACAATAGTGTTGTGGATCCTATCTTTAGGAGTTTAAAACATAGCAAAATTCTATCCTATTTTTAGGAGTTGAATCCTAGCAGAATTCTATCCTATTTTTGAGAGTTTGAATCCTAGTAGGACGAAAAAGGTGTGTTGACAGCTGCCCTTCTTTGTCCATAGTCGTGTAACGGGGATAGGGCAAAGATTGAAAAACACACTTTTCGTTCGGTGGAGTTGAAAATTGACTCTGATGTTTCAATTACTCCCTGTCGAATTGAGTTACGGATGACTCCTCCGTCGTGAAGTCGAGTTCATCTGGAAGCTTCTGAGCACTATATCCTTCGTCGTGAAGTTGGAATCGAACTCAAAGCTTTTGGCGAGTGGCCTTTGAATCGTCTTCTAGATCAAGATACTTCGTCGTGAAGGTGAAACTTGACCTGAAGACTTCGGTGTTGATGCGTTACAGATGACTCATTCGTTGTGAAGTTGAGTCAATCTGTTTGTGAAATTGGAATCGTACAGGGCCCCTTCGTCGTGAAGTTGAGCCTGAGAATTGGATATCCTTCGCCATGAAGTTGAAATCCAAATATTGTTCCGAGTCCAATATCCTCCGCTGTGAAGTTGAAATTGGTTCTGGAACTGGGAAATTATTTGTTGACAGTCAGCCGCCCCTTCGCTGTGAAGTTGAGCTTGTGCTGTCTCGAGTCTAATATCCTTCGTTGTGAAGATGAAATTGACTCTGAACGAAATCTTGTTGACAATCAGCCGTCCCTTCATTGTGAAGTTGAACTTGTGTTGTCTCGAGTCCAATATCCTTCGCTGCGAAGTTGAAATTGGCTCTGAAATTTGAAAAATGTTTGTTGACAACCAGCCGTCCCTTCGTTGTGAAGTTGAACTTGTGTTGTCTCGAGTCCAATATCCTTCACTGTGAAGTTGAGTTTGGCTCCGAAATTGCTTATCGACAGTTAGCCGCCCCTTCGCTGTGAAGTTGAGCTTGTGCTGTCTTGGGTCCAATATCCTTCGCTGTGAAGTTAAAATTGGCCCTGAAACTGGGAAATTATTGTTGACAACCAGCCGTCTCTTCGTTGTGAAGTTGAGATTGGCTCCGAAATTGTTTGTTGACAGTCAGCCACCCCTTCGCTGTGAAGTTGAGCTTGTGCTATCTTGGGTCCAATATCCTTCGTTGTGAAGTTAAAATTGGCCCTGAAACTGGGAAATTATTGTTGACAACCAGCCGTCCCTTCGTTGTGAAGTTGAACTTGTGTTGTCTCGAGTCCAATATCCTTCGCTGTGAAGTCGAAATTGACTCTAGCTAAAACGTTATTTTGGGGCTCATGAGAGAAATCTTGATCTTTGGTTGTTTTTCTGGAATCTTGGTTCTGGAATCTTCAAGTTCTGATCCATGGTCTCAAATTCTTCAAATGTTCAAATCTGATGTGCACATTCTATTTTTTGATTTGAGAAATACTATCCCAAGTATGTGCCTGAGCTGAGTGTAACGGTTCAGATGATGCTTCAAGAGGAATTATCTCAAAAGAGACAGAACTCGTTTCAAGGGAAACGATCTCAAAGATATTTGTTGTTTCAAGGGAAACGATCTTAAGGGAGACAAAATTTTGTTTTAAGAAAAACTGTCTCAAGAGAGACAAAACTTAGTTCCAAAAGAAATTGTCTCACGGGGAGATGAAATTAGTTCCAAGGAAAACATATTCAAAGATGATGCTTCAAGAGAAAACTGTCTCAAGGGAGACAAAATTTTGTTTCAAGAGAAACTGTCTCAAGAGAGACGAAATTCATTTCAAGGGAAATGTTTTCAATGTTTATGTTTCAAGAGAAACTATCTCAAGAGAGATGAAATTCATTTCAAGGGAAATGTTTTCAATGTTTATGTTTCAAGAGAAACTGTCTCAAGGGAGACAAAATTTTGTTTCGAGGGAAACTATCTCAAGAGAGACAAAATTCATTTCAAGGGAAATGTTTTCAATGTTTATGTTTCAAGAGAAACTGTCTCAAGGGAGACAAACTTTTGTTTCAAGGGAAACTAACTCAAGAGAGACAAAATTCATTTCAAGGGA